CCCTTTTCACCAGCTGGACGAAGGAGTACAGGCTTGAACTAGATGTAAAGGTCGATGACGAAAAAATTCCGACGATAAATAACCCAAAAATATTGGGAGTAACTCTAGACAGCCTGCACTCCTTCACTCCGCATACGACCGCAATTGCCGCAAAACTCCAGAGCCGCAACAAAATACTCAAAGCGCTAGCCGGCAGCACCTGGGGTAAAGATAAAGAAACTTTGCTGGCTACTTACAAAACAATTGGCCGGCCGGTCGTAAACTATGCTGCTCCGATCTGGACGCCGGGGACGAACCTCCTGATGTCGCCGGAGCATCACTTGCACAGGGAAGCATCTATGCTACGAGCTAAGGAGCATAATGCTTTGCTGTGCAAGCAGTTCCTATTGGGATGCTACCGCAGGGAGCACCCCAGTAGGCACTTAATAGAGGCTGAACCTCACCCTAGGCACATCAGGAAGGGAGTACTAGACTTCAAAGACACGATCCAGCAACACACACAACAACCGCTGGATAGGACGGCGTATCGACAAGCACTGAACGCCATTCACCAGGAGTCAGTTAACACCTTCATGAACTCCCTTCCAGTGAATGGCGTAATCGGAGAAATACCACCACCCATAGCAGACAACGAGCTCGAGCTGCCTCTAGAGACCCGCGTGACCCTGACACAACTCAGGTCTGGATATTGTAGCAGGTTAAACTCCTACCTATCCAGACTAGACCCCAGCATACCTAACGTATGCCCGGCATGTGGAGAGTCCCCGCACGACACTAACCACCTCTTCACATGCCCCCTCAAACCTACTCATCTAACCCCCCTCTCCCTTTGGTCCGACCCCGTCGAAACAGCTCGTTTCCTGGGCCTACCTTGAGATGACCTCGACGACTTAGACTAATCAAGCCTGTGCCTAAGCGGGGTTAGCGAACCGCTACAACAACAACAACAACAACAACAACATTAAAATAAGTTACTTTGTTGAAACATGCATGCGGGATTAGTGCACATGGTATGTAAATATTTGTGATGAAAGTGCAATTATTTTAACATGAACCTTTTTATTATTTAGCAACACTAATGTGAAAAATATAAAAAATTACAATAACCTAGGTTTGCAGCAAATACTCCAGCAAATTTCATTAGGATTGGTCAATTAGTGTGGCTGAAACAAGCACTTGTTCATTAAAGCAAGTATTGCCGTCCACGACTTTAATCAAAACCGGCCCTGCGTGCGAACTGTCCTTGCAGCATCTTTCAAAAGCATTGGACATTGTCAATCATACAATCATGGGAAGAGTTTTGAGTTCAATAATTCAAGCTCCGAAAGATTAAATAAGTGGTTCTGTAGGGTTGTATCCTCTCTCCACTGTTGTTTAAATTCTTTATTCCGAAGCCTCCACCTCAACCAGTGGGCGTTTCAATGATTTCATATGCCGCTGGTTACCCAATAGTGTAAAACTCGAAAATTAACAAATCAAAGCTGCTGTGGTATTTATTTAAGGCTACTCCATCTTCTTGAACTCTCTTCTAGTAAACTGCGGTTTCGGACTCCGATCTCCACCAATTGCAGAGAGGCACAATTAAGATCTACAATATCCTACCTATCCACACTTGACCCGAATATACCCAACGAATGTCCTGTAGACAATGAGACCCCATTCAAAACTAACCACCTCATTGCATGTCCTTTAAAACCCATAAATTTTAAATTTTTTCAGCCACTCACGTTATACAGTTTTTTGACGTCAAATATAAGGAGGAATCAAAGATTTCATTTAAAAACTTTTGTTATTGCAAATTTTTTCTTTTTACATAATAATAAAGTATTAAATAAAACTTGCAATTTAATAAGCACTTTCATTATACATTGACTGTATATATGTATGTATGTAAGTCATAGTTTAAATATTTAATTTTTCTTATTAATTTGTTAATTTACAATCTGTCGGTTGACAATAAGTAAATTATACTCTGCATTGTCAAATAAGTCCTAAAAAATATTAATTTATATATATCTTAACACTAATCGATTTTTGAACGAATATCAGTATAAATTGGGACTCAATGCGAAATGGAAAAAGTAATCTATTAACCAGAGCATACATTCGATGTATATTATTTATTTTATGAGGTCTAATTTAATAATAACCTTTAAACGCTGACGATGAATTTGTTTTAAAAACTTGTTTGTATTAAGATACGTAAATTTTTTACGATACTGTTTCAATAATGCAAAACTCGGATGTGAATCCTCTTCCCATTAATATTATAGCGATATCTTGGGTGAATATTATCAAATGCATATTGTTACCCGCCCTAATATTAGAATAAATTGTTCATCATTTACCTATGTATAATTGGCACTTTGTAACCACTAGAGCGATTTTCGGCCGAGCTTTTCCTTCAATTTGTGGTTTTGGGTCGTGATATTTTTCCAACAAATGGAAGGACTTACAGTTTAAACTAAGCCGCATCCTAACGGCTGAAGGCTTTTTATGAGGAGCCTTTATTTCATGTCAAAAATACACTCGGCGGAGTTGACATTCCTTCCCGAGGGGCGACCGCAATTAGAAATTTAAATTAATTTTAAATTTTAATTAATATTCAATAAATTTTTTTATTTTTTTTTGTTGGCACCAGGATTTCAAACCGGCCCTTCCAAATGGCAGTACGCTGCGGTCGTCATCATCTATTTATCTTATATTTTTTCTTCCAGCGCCGCTATATTTTGAATTTAAATCTCAAAGAAATTTAAAGCCTAAATCTGCTGGAAATGTTTAACACGATACGATATCTATACAAGTAATCACAAATTTTTTAATTTTTGCAACTATTTTTAATTATTTTGTACAGAATCACCTTGAAATGGCTTTATACAGTTTCTGGCCGTTTTCACACAGTGCACGGCCAGAGCGCATTAGTTTTAGTCTCCATGACTTATCGGTCGGCGCAGTTGTGACATAAACATCGTATCGTGAATTTTCCATAAATATGTATTGAGTTATCCGATTCGTGTTTTCACATCTGTCAGACTTAACTTTCAAAGCAAACACGGTTTGTTTTAATTAAAAGCCAGGCACTAATGAAAATGGATCGCTTAACAATCGGCCAACGAGTTAAATTGTTACAGCTTAGGCAAAAATGGTGATCCAAATGTGCCCATGATTCGATCTTTTAAGGGAGAATAAGATGCTTTTAAATAATTTGAAGATACTGGATTGGTTACAGATATTGTAAGACCTGTGCATCCTCGTTTTTCTCGAATCATATATCGCTACTGTAAGTGAAATTGTAGCCGAAGACCCCAGTGTAACTATTTCTCCCCGTTCTCAAGAGCTGGAAAATTATGAACGGAGCACTTTTATTCATTGGCGGTAAAAACTTTTTAATTAGTAATTCATTTAAGAGCTTTCTCCAACTGGGTTATAAGGTTTGTAAGATTTTAAATTGGAAACAAACGATTTACTCAAAATCAAAGATAGTACTTTAAGCCTCTGCTTCCGACTTGTTATGCGGCGCAATGAAAAATTATACCTTCAATATTTTCAAGATGCTAAATACATATATATAAATAAATATGGTAAATGCTGGTCACCTTACTGTATATATATAAATGGTGATTTTTTAAATATATGGTTTTCAAGAATAAATATAAAATAAAACGCATATAATTTAATCTTATGACAAAGAATTTAGCTTTGTTATAAAGATATTGATCGATATTATGTTTTAAAATAATTTCGGGAAATTGACCGTCTAGCTCGTATAAATTCCAGCCGAAATTCCATTTTCGACCACTTTATTCTGCAACTGGGGCCTTATGTCATCAGCAATGTGCCGAATATTCTCTTTGAAGACGTCAGTTGACCAGGGCTTATCTACGTACGACTTCACAAAACCCACAAAAACAGCACGTTCTCGGAAGCAGGCTGAACACAAGTTACCTTCAATAAATATATTGTTTCGTTGGGGGCACGCAGCGCCATATTGTTTGAACCAAAATACGTCCATATCAACATATAATATTTGCCCGCCTTCATTTTTGAAAAAATATGGATTAATGGTTTATATATATATATATTATTGTCGTATGTCGCGCTAACCAAATCACTAGTTTGAAATGAGTTTGTTCAGTTTGCAAATGTTGTTTCGAAGTAAGTCGGCTCACTATGAAGTGGTAAACTAAGCTTAGTGCAAAAAAGGGGGCACTCCGAAATTGAATTGAAAATCACACATCTAATAAAACACCCTGTATTTATATTGGATTTTACACCCTCTATATTTTGCAGCAATACGAAGATGTAACTTCGGTTAAAAGTAAACCTGAGCAGCCAACATCATCATCAAGTGGAGTAGTCGCACAAGTTGAAGCAGACAGCGCTTCAGCAAACTCCCTAACACGCCGTCAGCAACGCTGTAAAAGCCTAAAGGGTCCCTCAACAGCCAAGAATAATAATGTAAAGTGTACTACAACAACAACACTGCACCGTAAATTAGAATGTCCCGTTCTAGATACCACCGATATAAAAGATGAACCAGCCGATTTTATTGAGACCAACTGCCATTGGCGCGACTGTGGTATCGAATTTATTACTCAAGAAGAACTTGTAAAACATATCAACAACGATCACATACAGACCAACAAGAAAGCATTTGTATGCCGGTGGATTGATTGCTCACGAGGAGAAAAGCCTTTCAAAGCGCAATACATGCTTGTAGTCCATATGCGTCGTCACACAGGAGAAAAGCCACATAAATGCACGGTTAGTTCTATATACATAAATTTGTTATGTACACATTTTTAAGTTCATAAGTTTAACATTAAAAATATAGAGTCGCCTTTAAATATAGTATTGAAACTTATTTAAAACTCTCAGCCAACTGTATGAAAAAAGACAATTGGAAGAGCTTTCTAGTAGTTTCGTTTGATAGAAAATTCATCTGGAATATATATTATGAAAATAAATGAAATTCCCCATCTCCTTTTATTGTAACATTAGCCATATGCAATGTCTATGCCGTAAAGCCAATTGATTACCTTAAGTGGATCTTCCCAATTGAATTGAGGTTTCGAGGACAACCCCATCTTTTGTATTGGGTTGAATACCAACACTGAATCTCCATCTTGGAAACGCTTGGAGATTTTCTCCTAGCTGTCTTAGTTTCTCCACTAGGACCTCAGGTGTTTCCTTTACAATTCTTCTTACCGCACCATTTACTCCAAACTTCAAATCACTAGGCAACTGAAGATCACTACCAAAGAGTGTCCCTTTTAGTGTTTTACACGTTTTTTGTGCACTGACCGATTTCCAATCCGGTGCAGAGGTATGTGAATATCCTAAATATCTTGATGCTTATTCACAACCTTCTCTCAGAGTGCGATTGAACCCCTTAAATGCAATTCCTTACCAGCAGTTTGCAAGTCATTACGCAACCGACTGAATAGTACCGAGAATTCCTCCACTGAGGCCATTGTAAAATTAATGGAAACATCCAGAATTCACTACTTCGGAACTACTATTAGATTGCGGAAGCAATTTTAACTGCTCCATTGCACCGAGTATGTCTTTGCGATTGAACTTTCATTTTGTTCCTTACTTGCCGCCTGTTTATCTGCAGTCCGTGTATTAGAAGTTCCAAGTCGAGAACTTCCTGCCTTAGGTGACTTACCTTCCACTCTTCTTCTGATTTAATTGTCATTAGCAGATGTTTACATTCCAAGTTACATGTCCTGTCGACCTTGGCCTTAGTCAGTAGTCCCATAGCCCAAGTAAACTCCACTTCCAGCATTGAAGGCTATCTATTCATTATCTTCCCCATTTACTCCCACTTACCAATAACTACTCTCAAGATCGAGTGTTGTTAACTATTATGTTCCAGTTAACTTGTCCAGAGTATAATCCTTGGCGATGGATAGCTGCCTTTCCTTGTAACATTATTTAGTCTCCCTAGTTCACGCAGAACCTTTGCCATCTTTCTTCTTTACAAGTACTACCATGGTGCTCCATGAACTCAACAACGGCTCGATACCACACTTCGAGGAGCTTAACTTGTCGGCCTAGTGTCACCAGAATCAATAGAGAGTTCCGCAACTTTGGTTCTGTCTGAGTTGTTGCCCTCTTTGAGGAATATCTCAGAGTATTTGCGGAGATTTTTATTGGCCTTATGCTGTTATTTGCCTTCTGCTACTCTTCCGTTAATTTTTCGATGTTAAATTGGTGATTTGAATTTGTTCGCAGTTTTCTAAGACTACTTGCTTGCCGAACAATGGTAACTAGTACTTGTTGCTCTACCATATTTTTGTGTAACGCCACGCTTGGTGTAAATTTCGGATGCAAATTCTTGCAATTTTTTTGGATTTTTGTTTACAGTTCTCTAGCTCGATCCAATACATTTGCCTGTTCGAAATTCTAAACTCTACGAGCTAGGATTAAGTCCGCGCTTCCTGGTCTTGCAGCTTTATAAAATCAGTGCTGACATCCTGTTTTTGTCTTTGTGATGACATCTGCGACATACGTGCAGTAATTTGCTTGTTGATGTGTAAAACCATATATGAGCTAGGAGCCTTTTCTCCGATCTTAGTTGCTGGTTGCTATAAATCTTTCGCAGAAGCAGCAGCCTCTTCCCTCTGTACATCTTTCGTTTGGCTTAAGTCAATGCCTTTGGATTCTATAGTTTCTCGCAGCCGTAATTGTAGCTCAGCTTTATTTCCGGTGGTATATAATCCGTGCTTTGCCAAATTCTCTTTCGGGAACAGTATCGTAAAATTCGGAATCTTGATTATTTCCACTTTTTTATCCTTAAACGTTATGTTTTCGCTAAATAAGATTCGATGATTTCCCTAATCAACAAAGTTTATTTTACATCTCTTACACTCTATTCTAAACACTTGGCAACGATGAATTTAACATTTTCCGTCGCGAGATAGGTATCACATATCTGTGTATAAATAAAACGAACTATGTTACTACAACAACAAATTAAAAGAATGTATTGCTACCATGATGGTGGAAATAGGCTTTTTCATGATTTCAGGGCTTTACGGCGGACACATGAGCGTCGAATTACTGATGAAGGAAATCAAACATTTGCAAACATCGAATGGTTGATTGCGTCTGTTACGCGAAGCTTACAGTAGACTAATCATATATTTATATTCCTCATTGCTCTCCAATGGGACGTTGATAACATCCGGTTGCCAGAATTGCAAGGCGGTTAAAACATTTAAGCATTTTAGTAGTGCTAAAACTGCAAAAACACTTTAAATTTATATTTTTTTCTGTTTTTCCGAAAATATTACTATTAGTTTTCTGCCTTTAGTTGGATATCAAGAAGAAGAAAGAATCGGTTGCATTCAAGTGGAAAGAATCTTCCACTTCTCTTAGCAAACGTCTATCCAACGGCGAAGGGTATAAAACGTATGCTAAATACTCAAAAACAATTTTTAATTACTTTTTCTTTTTTCTTCTATCTTGCCTATGTAATTTCCCTATCTTTGTTTACTTTAACTTTAACAAAATAGCGATAGCGATTTTCGTTAAAGTAAGTACACCGAATATTAGAATCGTTGAAAATATCGCGATTAGCGATACAAAAATCGTTAATACGTTTGTAGCAAATAGCGAAATCGTAAAATTATCGCTAAGTCATTTGACGAAATCCGAAGTTCGTTATAATACAATGAGAATCGCGAAACTGCTCTTATCACATATTTTTACTGCAAACCATTAGAATAACTTCAATAACAATTCGTTTTTTTTTTCTTTATAAATAGTTTGAGGGTTGTTGCAAGGCATATTCTCGGCTTGAAAATCTCAAAACTCATCTTCGTTCGCATACAGGCGAGAAACCATACACTTGCGAATATCCAGGCTGTAGCAAGGCATTTAGCAATGCAAGTGATCGTGCTAAACATCAAAATCGTACCCATAGCAATGAGGTAAATGTATATATATTTACAAATAGCTCATTTACTTATACGCAAAAGTTAATTCAATCAAAATAACTTAAACGCATGAATTTCAATGACGTTTTTCTTTCTCAGAAACCATATATATGTAAAGCACCCGGTTGCACAAAGCGCTACACTGATCCTAGTTCATTACGTAAACACGTGAAAACTGTACATGGTGCAGACTTTTATGCTAGCAAAAAACATAAAGGTTCCTTCCCCGAAGACGGAAATGGTGGCATAGATAGACACGTTATTGGTAGTAATGCGCCAGGTGCAAATGGTTTGAAATTAACACCACTCTCGCAACTTCACAATCAAAATCATCATCATCAAGTTGATTCTAGCCCACGTAGCGATGACGTGCTCTCTGGAAAAGCAAATAGCGTATCGAGTCCTAGTATTAAGTCGGAATCTGATGCTAATTCACCTGAACATAGTCCAAGCACTATGGAAGGACATCAGCTGTCACTACAAGGATCTCAAGTTAGGTCGGCTATAAATAATCATGGCAATGAAAATTCACGCTGTGGATCTGGATATGGAGCTGAAGAATATCTTGGCAATCCAACACCACTAGGTGAGTGTTGGGAATACGATGAGGGCTTGGAGGTTGCGGAGCTGCCATATGTTCTACGTGCCATGGTTAATATAGGAAGTGGAGCTAATGCAGGTAATACCAATAACAGCAACATAAATAGTAGTGGTGCTGGAACTATTCTTGGAGGAGTCTTGCCACGCCAACGTCTACGTAGCAGACTACAAACGAAAGGTATTAATTTGGGCTCAGTAATGCTATCGAATATACCGAAAGTACGACGTAATGTGGGCATCGGAATTTGTGAACTGAATCAACGAATTAATAATTTGAAAATGGAGCCAAATAGCTCGACAATATCGCCACTAAACGCAGAATACACAACAAAAATGCTGCCTCCAGCTAATAATCATATGACTGAGTTACAGACCCGCTCACAACAGCAGCAATTAATACGGCGAGATAGTCAAAATTCTAATGCCAGTACATATTATTGCAGCATGCAAAGTAGACGTAGTAGCCAATCATCGCAAGTTTCTTCTATGTCAACTATGAGGCCTTCCTATAACACGGGCTCTTTCTATGATCCTATATCACCCGGATGCTCACGACGATCCAGTCAGCTCTCCGGTACCACATCTGGTGGCATAAATAATGGTTATTTCAATGGATGTAATATTAATGGCATTAGCAATAGCAATTCCATTCACAAGAATAATATTAGTGACTCTATAAAATCTTTGGCACCGATAAATGCAACAACTGGTTCTGATAAGAACTCTCCATGCAATGAGTCATCTAAATTTAACGGCAGGAATGGTTTACCTCCCTTGCCATCATCACATTTGATATCAGCACATTTTCAACGCCTCCAAGGGCATAATAATCCAGAAAACGCCCAAACTCGTGAACATTGCCGTGGTTCAAATCCAAGTCTTCCAATGGCGGAATCATTAGAACAAAAAAAAAAAATTAAAATTTCGAACTCTGTGGCCACATCTATGAAAGCCCTCTTAAAGCGTCGTCAATCCGAGCCAATACGCACAGATAGCAGTCGGTGCACGGCCTCTCCATGCAGTTCGCGGCCGGATGTTTCATACAGAGCTTCCAACTCAAATGGTTCCACTAGTGGTGTAGAAATGGAAGCCGACCAAAGTAAAATAAAAGTTACTACGTACTGTACTCAAAATGGAGATCAATCTACATCAACATCTGAACACCATCCCAATGAAAGAGTAAATTTAGATGAAATAGATGAGGATGAACTTATCGAAGATAAATTGGTATTACCAGATGAAATGCTTCTGTATTTAAATCAAGTAGTCGATAAACCAAGTCTTACGTCACAACGGGAGCCAGCAAACAAACAACCTTCACAAATGACACCAATAGAAGAACAACAGCAATCAAAAATTGATAAAAGTGCAACAATTAATGAAGATACCCTTAATCACCAATTAGGATCATTATCATCAGCTTTAATACATTCAAACAGTCAAAACATAACAGAGTCAAGCCAACTACATTTGAGGCCCACTTTGTCTTCCTCACCCATATATTCCATGTCGGCAATGGGTAGTCCTCATCCGAATCTTAATTACGAAGCGGCTGATTACTATGGCACCCAGTCTGAACTTGTTTATATTCCGACCAACGTGGAAAACAATTACAGATATAACTCAGCAAATTTCACACATTTACCAAGTCAACTGCACCCACCGCAACAATTCGGTGAAAATCACACCCGTTTAGGCTATTTCCGATCAGAGAACTTCGATCTTCAATCTAGAGTACACAATGTTAATTCACAACAATATCATCAGTATCATATGCAACAAGTGCAGCCTCTTCAGCAAGCAAATATATGTATTTGTGTTGATTCATCAATGACCAGTTTACCTGAAACTAAAGATGATTATAATTCCGAAGCTTCTTGTGAGCCCACCAACTTACCAGAGTCATTAGGAATTGGTGAAAACCTTTTTCATAGAGCTCTTCTACCAGCAGCGACTCTTCGGTTACAACAGCAACACCATCCCCACATTCATCAAATACGTAGCTCATCTGTACCAGCACAAAACAAACCAATGGAAAAGTTAGCTATTGCGGAAGTACAATGCGGAGATATCAGTCAATCCCAAATGTCGCCCATATTGAAAGTACACCAATCAGTGACATCAGATAAAACTGTGATTCCAGCGAATACAACAGCAACACAGACGACGGTAACTACGACAACCGCAGGTGTACAATCAGTAACAGCCAATCAAGCTCAAGTAGGTTCAACAGGCGAACACTATTTAAGCAACACTCCACACACAATAACAACAACAATTATGGCGTCAACAATCGCATTGCGAGGCACTGGTGCAAATAATAGTCAATTTTCTGCTTACATTCCCAACGACGGATTAATCAGTAATGAGAATATGCACTGCGATACATATCAACGCACACTTGAATATGTGCGAAATTGTCAAAACTGGTTAGAGGCACATAATTCAACTGTAAATTGCAATAGTAATCAAGAGAGCGAAAGACCAGAATACGATAACAGCACTCAACAAGCAGTTAGTAGTTCAACTCATCCCAACTCAAATATGATCATTAATGATTTGACAACATCGTTGAGCTCACTTCTGGAAGAGAACAGATATTTTCAACTTTTACAATGAAAAATCTGAATCGATTGGTACTTATTAATGTGAGATCGTTAATGATGAAATGGTACAGAATTTAACTTACATTTAAGTAACATATTTCTTAGCTGCTGAATTTTAGTCTTAAAAGAGGAAGCCGAAGAACTTAATAATCACTTGGTCAAATTGAATAGACAAATTTTAACAAATACAAGCTGTTATGCAGTTTTGATGTTTTCATAATGCAGGTTAAAATATTCACAATGAAGATACCCACCAGAAGTAAAAAACGGGCTTTAAATTTTTTAATAACGTTAAAGATAACGCTGCGATGCATATATGTATATATATACATATAAAGCTATCAGCATCGTATGCATCGCATCGTTATCTTTAATATATATATATATTTATATATATATATATATATATATTTATATATATATATTTATATATATATATTTATTTATATATATTTATATATATTTATATATATACACATATTATTGGCGCTGTGTAACCGTTGAAGCGATTTTTCGGCCGAGCTCCTCCTCCAATTTGTGGTTTTGCGTCTTGATGTTTATCCAACAAATGGAGGGACCTACAGTTTATACAAAGCCGCCTCCGCACGGCTGATGTTTTTTTTTTACGAGGAGCTTTTATTTCATGTTCGAAATACATTCGAAAGGGGTGGACATTTCCTGCCGAGGGGCGACCGCAACTAGAAAATTTAACTTAATTTTTTATTTAAATAAATTTTTCAAAACTTTTTTTTTTGATGTTGGTGGCACTGGGATTTGAACCCGAGCCTTCCGAATGTCAGTACGCAATGCTAGCCACTCAGCTACCGCGGCAGCTTTTATTTTGGAGGGATGTTGGTCGGACAATGACTCGAACTCTGGCCTCCGCATGGCAGTACGTATTGCTAACCACTAGCGGCCACCATTATTGTTATTAACATCATTTTTAGATAATTTCAGCAAGTTTTATTACAACCACCATAGTAAATATTGCAAAACATATTACAGTTTATCAATAAGTTCCTTAAAACAAGAAACTTTCTAAATGTTATCATGTCCAAAAAGAACTCAATAATCTCCTCACTTAATAAATTGCATTCTTGTCCTCCTACAATCTACTTTTCTTGCGGTTGCCGAATTATCAAGCGGTGATACAAGCGCAACTGAAATTGAGAATCCACTTGGTAGCATAAGTTGAAATGGTGATGGCAGTGGAAATGTTGGTGCGCGCCTGTTTTCGTGTAAATTTTGGTATCCATCCATGCCTATACGCATTTGTTGTTGAGTTTGCTGCAGTCACAAATATTCAAAAGGTTTTTATGTATTTAATTTTGTTTTTGAAGGTCGATCTGCTTTTAATATTAAAAAATGTCAAACACATAAATATACATATCTGTAATTATATAATTCGCGTCATCAATGGTTACAAATTAAATTGAATTTTGGTTATCAAAAATCATATCTTTCATAGATTCTCTCCCAAAAGGGCAAATATATGTTGTATATTATTTGAACAGCGTTAGTTTTCTCGCTTTCGTTCTGAAATAAATAAATCGAAACTAGCAGTGTTCAGTTCAACAAATCGACTTAAGCCTTTTCTTGGACTTCATATAGTTTGCTTACATAAACAAACTTGAGGTTTTTACCAACTTATAAATATCCGTCTATCAAGGGCATAAGTATATGCGATACAATGAAGAGTCTTTGCCAAAACGACCTTTAAGCTATAAAATAAGAACAATGATGAAAAGTGAAATGTTTACAAATTTATGAAACTAACTATCTTAAATAAGTCCTACAATCTACTTTCAAAGGCAATATTTCCAGAAAGAAAACACCGTTTTATTTGTGCTGGGGTTGAAAGTTTATAACATACTTTAAGGTTCCAAAAAACAATTCAAACTACTGATTCTATTTTCTACTTTTTTTAACCCTAACATATATTTATGGTATCTACTTCGACATCGGAAGCTTAACAATAAGTAATAACATCTGAAACTAAATTAAAAAATAAAGCCCATTAGTAGAACTAGTCTGTTCTTTAGAAGGCTGTTTCGTCTCTTCTCCGCAAGCGGGTTTGACTTGTTGCATGGGCCAAAGTTTTAGCCAAAGGGTTCGGATGGTTACGCAGTTTTCTCAAGTATTTTTATGCTGCAACTTCAATCTCTTATTTGATGGTAGGTATATTTAGATCTCTATGGATATTTTCATTACGCATGTATCATGGTGCGCCCGTTATTACTTTTGGCGTTTACGATTGGAGCATTTGAATTACAGTCAACGACAAAAGTTTAAATACACCTATAATTTCACTTTTTATTAAAATTAAGCATTTTAGAGTAAATGTAAGAATGCAGTTTATTTAAAATAGTTAACTAATCAACAATACAACCAAAAATAGTAGACAACGGTAAATTCATTCAAAACATGAAATAACGCGGGACAAAAGTTTAAATACAACCAAAGAAAAATACCCATTGGATGTGCTTTGCAAGTTCTCTAAAAATAAAGTTCTGTTATATTAAATGATTTAGCAACTTATATAGATATACCCGGTATTAGATGCGACTCCAGTGAATGGAAAGTAAAAAAAGTTGGTAAAGGAAATCAGATTAAAGGTGATGTTAAAACTTCACATTTTTAAGAAGGAAAATCTTACCGAGATATAGGAAAAAATCTAGATAATCCTTATGCGAGTGTGCAAAATATTGTTCGAAAGTAAGAACCTACAAATCTGTTCAAAAATGGCGAGATGTTATTTTTATCACCATGAAAGTGACGAAAATTCCTAAAGTAAGTACTCCAAAGATAGCCGATAGTAAAGCAAAAATATTGGGCAAAAATGTACACCCAAAAACTATGGCAAGAACTTTACGGGAAGGTAGCTATCGAAGCAGAGTTTCACGTCAAAAGCCTCTAATATCTGAGAAAAATAAGCAACTTCGTCTTTAATTTGCAAATTAATGGCAGGATATGAATGGAGAAGACTCCTGCTTATGAGCGAATCGAAATTTAACGTGTTCGAAAGCGTTGGCTGCGTAGACATTTGGCGTAAAGCTTATGAAACCCAAAATTTAATACAAACCGCTAAGCACGGTGAAGGTAGTGTCAAGGTTTGGGGAGCGATTGGAGCAACTGGCGTAGGTCATTCAACGTTTCTCGATGGAATAATGAGCACATATGCTTACAAAAGTATTTTGGATCAACAAAGACAGTCTACCGTAGATTCCTTGGGTCTCTGAAGCTCGTAGATATTTCAACAAGACAACTGACCTAACCATACTGCGGGCATGAGGAAGAAATGACTACTGTATTATGCTCGTCGCCAACTTTATAGTTCGCCGCAATCATCAAACTTCAACCCCTATGAGCATATTTGGGAGTTATTGGCACGAAAAAATGGCGGCTTCAACCAGCGGCTTCAACCAGCAAAAAAGCCTTAGAAGAATATCTGAAAAAGGCATAGTCTGAAATGGGTTATATAAATTATATTTTATTTCATTACGAAATTCTAAAAAAAGTATTATTTTGTACTAAGCACGTCTCTATTGTCGAAGGTACAAATTTCAACTAACTCTAACTTTACATTCTACACTTAAGCTAAGCTTGCCATTTTTCCCTCTCAGCGGAATTTGTGCTTCGCGACTTTTATTTTTCGATCGCGTTCGAGCGTTTTTAAAAAAAGCTAATTTAAGTTTTAATAAAAAGACATACCAGTTGGTTTGGATAGGAGAATCAGACTGAATTTACTTTTAATATTTCATATTCTAGTAAGTTACAATTTAATACATATTTACAGACATATATAACATTTAATATATATTTGCTTACTTTGCATATGTTGCACTTAGTTACTTAACTGCTTACTATTGATATTAATTATTTTACATATTCTTTGATTCTAGGAAATATTATGAACTTAATCATTTTGTTTTATATCTTTTATACTAAATTTTGTAAAAGCAAAGGAAATGGTATTGTTTTACATTTTATTGATTTCCTGTTGTTTGGTTTATTTCATAAAGAAATTCTGCAAACTTATCAGTTTTACTACCTGTTACTGTGTTATTCATATATGTAACTACTCCCCCTTTTAGATTCGAATTCTCCTGAATTCGTTTATTTAATTTTATTTTAATATATCTATGTTTTGTTATTAAAGTTACAATTGCTATTATTACAAAAATTGTGATAAGTATGTTACACCCGTAAATTACTTTATTGTGAAATTTTAAATGGGAAATATGCTTAAAATTTTCTTTATTTTCAACATCTATTTGATCTAATGTTAGCTTTTCTTTAAAGCTTTTGAAATTTGCATATTTCATGTTCATAATATTTCCTTCGATCGTTTCAAATAAATTGGAAAAGTAATAATCATTAATTTTAATCTAACAGTTATTGAATTGTATTAAATAGTTTCCATTTACAAAAGTTTGATTTTTGCTGCAAGTGTTATTAATTAACAGATTGTTTGCATTTTTAACAATAATTGATTTTTCATCTAATGCCAAAATTTCTAATTCTTTATTTGTTATTAACTTACAATTATTCTTTATTATACAATGTAAACTTGGCTTTAATTGTCTAAGATGTTTATTTTCTTCAAATAACATTGTTTTATTTTCGTATATAAAAACTTCTTCTATTTCTGCATCAATTTCATTTTGACTTTTATTTGGTATTGGTACAATTTTTCTAATTTTTGCTTGTATAAAAGTTTTTGGTATTTTAATTCCAATTATTAAATAAGTGTTATTAAAAGTTGCTGTTCCTAATTGTAAATATTTTAATGTATTAAAATCGATATCATATTTAGTAATTTCATGATTTGTTAGAATATTTGGGTTGACAATCCCGTATTTTGCTGAAACTACATTATTTTGTATTTGTTCTATTTTATTCTTTAACAATTGAATTTTTGTCATTTGCTCTAAATACATATTTTGTTCATATTCTTCATCTATCATTTTATTTATAATATTAAAACTTTTTTTTATTTCTTTTCTATCATTTCTTACAATATTTTTTATTTGTTCTAATGCTAAATTAAAATAATCGTTTACGTGTATCTGTTCGTTCATTGTCTCGTCTGTCTTCAAAAGATGGTTTTGAATTATTTGTCTGTCATTGTCGTCCATCGTACCAAATATCCATTTGGATACGCTGCCTACAGCATTAACTAATCCTCTCGCTTTTCTCTTTATTTTCGGTATTAACGTCATTAACTTATTTCTTGCTTCTATCAACTCTGTATATAATATTTCTTTGTTACTTGATTTTATTAGAATAATATTGTCCGTCATTTCATTAATTATGCTTTCCATTTCTTCTATGTTTATTAAATGTACTACTATGTCTGTGTCCA